TCCATCTGCAGTCATCCTCACAGTAAAACAATGATCTTCTTGTATCCGTTCTCTGATTTTTGTAGTTCACCATTACGAAGAGAAATTTTGCGTCCAGGCCTAGGTGCATTAGTAATCTGAGTAATCATTTCCACACCACTTTTGAATCGTATATACCACCAGAAAATGTGTGCACGAAATGAACAGTTATTCCCATAAATTGGTTGCATCAATTCAACTGTTTCGACAGCGCTTTTTCTGAGTTTTAAGAAGAATTTAATTTAGCTTTTCGCTCCGTGCTGATTACGTAACAATGCACATCTGACTAGGTCAACAAAATGGCGGCTTATTTGCTGTCTGCTTATCGAACGGCGCTGAAAAGTTGCCAGATCACTGATGAATGTTGCTTCTTTAGATTCCATGCGTTGCTTCAAATATGGCATTTTTGTCTTGACCATAATAAAATCTGTCTCACTACTTAATTGTCGGACCTTGTACATGGTAACACGTGTAGAATTTATAGAGATAATCAAATGCGAATACAAAAGGCAAGAAGAGCTTTCATAGGACTAGAAATGTTGTGGAGGTCAAATGAAATTATAACTAATACTAATTTTTTCTTACTTCCAGTTGTAAATCAGTACCGTTGTATGGAAGGGAAACATGGAGGACAACTAAGGCATTTACTAATAAACTACAAACAGTCATTAACTGGCGCCCCCGCTTAGTAGAGTATAGGATATGATCGAATCACCAAAGTTGAGCTTTGGGAAATAAATAAACAGGTTCCAGTGTACCAACGAGAAGAAGAAAAGATAGCGTTTGGATAGGACACGCGTTGAGAAAACCTGAGAACAATATAAGTAGACTGTCTTTGCACTGGAACCTACAGGAGTATAGCAATAAAGGAAGACCCAAATAAATGGAGAAGGGAGCTTGGGAGTGAAGTTAAAAAAATGGGGAGGACATGGGGAACGCTGCATGCGATAGCTAAGTATAGAACGACTTGGCGTGAGTTGGCTGAGGGCCTATGCTCCATTGGGGGCTAGAAAGGCAGAAGGAACAAAGAGCACTTCCTGGTCCCTTTACAATGGGACCGGTGACTTCAGGAGACCTGAGCTCCCAGCTTTGGGCGCCTATAATTATATTTACATTAGGCTATTCCTGTGGCATACGGATATGAAGTCATCTACGGTGCTTCTTGTGCATGTGACTGATGTTGAAATCTACCTTGCAAATGTAGATATGTAAACACTCCTAATTTGTTTTTGCTTTCGACTGCATTGTTGGCTAAGAAGGTTCCTAAGATTAAAGGAAATGTTTGCTTCTGGTTACCTAGCAGTAAATTGGTCTTTCGCCCGTTAACCCTTAAATTAGCGGTTCTCAAAATGGGAACTTGTACACATTTTAAGTTCGTTAAACTTTTTCACTGGTTGCTAAAGACCATCGAAAAACATATTGACTGAAGTTATAAAGTAGTTTCGAAAATAATTATATTGATGGGTGTTACCACAAAATAAGGAACTGTATTAAAGGGTCGCGGCATTATAACGGTTGAGAACCACTACCTACAAGGCTAATTCATTTTCTGGGCGAATCTACAGTGTACAGTTTAAGAATCCCTGTAACTTGATCATGTGACCTTCTTATCTCCCCCTACGACGTGTGATTCCACAAATCAACGCTGAACTGACGGGTTAGCTCCCCTGCTGTTGTAGGTGCATTCCTGCGATGAACTTTCAATGCAGCCCAGCAGGGAGACAAGACAGTTACACCAAGTGAATGTTGTTACAAAAACTTTGTAATAATTTTATTTAGAGGGACCTGCAAGGAAGATTTTGGTGTGCTTCAAAGCTTTAATTACATTTGATGTTGTAAAGACAGGCTTGAAGTAAAATCTGTGTCCTAGGATATATGTTTTCCTTGTGGGAGGTGTCCGATGTTAGCATTCACTTTCTGAAGTTGGAGGTGAAGGTAAGGGAGTGATTACATCAAACTAATACTTTTTTTTCATTTCCGTCATCCCCTTGTGGGATGCAATTTCCCGTTATTTCAAAGCCCTTCTCTAGCTCTTGCCAGCGGCCGCAATATAATATGGTCTAATGGCTGAACGCGGTTTCTGGGACCTCTCCACGGGTGATCCTCATCCACATGGTGGCACTTTGTGTCATCGGGTGTTTATCGATTGTGTGAAATCCTAGTGGTTACTACTACTACTACTACTACTACTACTACTACTACTACTACTACTACTACTACTACTACTACTACTACTAAACTGTTACTAAGTTCTGCTACTGCTGCTGTCGCAGCTGCAGCTGATACTACTACAACTACTGATACAGCTGCTAGTACAACTACTACAGCTGCTGCTACTTCATCTGCTGCGGCTGCAGCATGCTACAAGTCAAGTAAAGGACAATTTCCCACACCATCAGGCATATTGGGCATATAGGGCTAGACCCATGTTTTATAAACCAATCGGCACTTGGTGGGTGAAACTGTCAACCTCACGTCAGCCGACTTTACCTCCCCTGACTTACCTAGTACCGACTCAAGGCTAGATCGACCTGGGAGCCGAGGTCATTTTTTGAAAAAGTCCGGCTACTTCAGGATCTGAACCCACGACCTTCCGATCCGCATGCGAGCGTCTAGCCATTACACCACAGCGACTCCCGCGTCTGTGGTTTAAGTGTTGCAAACGCGCTTCGTAATGCCGAGATGCCGGATTCGATCCCAACTGCAGGCGATTAGTCGCCTTGCGTTTGTTAATACTGGGACTCGAGAGCCGACCGTTCACATAGCAGTGGCAAACTACTAAACTTAAATTTGCCTAGAAAAACCGCAACTGGCAAACAATGCTCAGATTGGTTCTGCAACGTTCTATAAAGGATACGCACCTAACTGTCACATGATTAGTCAAAAGAATTTTGGTGGTCCTCATGGACTTGTTCTCGGGCCATCCGCGAACCACGGTCAATGGGTTTAAAAACACTGTTTTAAATCCCAGTGAGAAACGATTAGAGTTAACAGTGTAGGAAACCCATACCATGAGGTGAATAGAGAAGTCCCCTTGTGGATCACAGGACCCCAATGTGGGGGAAAAACGAGAATAGACCCACTGCCTACCCAACAAGCATGTCATGGGAGTCGACTCAGTGGGAGAGGGGGCGCTTCCCACGAAGTCGGTGTGCATCTGCTTGAGAAGCAAGGAATCAACAGTCTGCATATACCTAGATCAGATTTATAAAACGGAAGTGCACGCAACACTCAGGTTCTGAAACAAGACTTGAAGTCCACAGGCGGAGCACTATAGGTCTCTGGACAAACTAGTGTGCTGAGGCCCCTACGTCAAAAACTAACAGAAATGAAATATAAATTGCCACGTGACATACACAGATTAGCAAGGGGCTTCTATTACGTACCCCCCCCCCCCCCCACCAGTCAAGTACCCGGCAGGCCCATGTGTTACGACATCACTAGTGCCACCAAATACTTGTAAATCAAAACATAAGCAACATTTACCAGTAAACTGCTAGTTTATTTATTAAAACTAAACATAACTAACTGCAAGAACGAAAATAATGTCTATTTTTGTTTACTTTCACTTTATTGTTCACCTATTTTTTTTTTTTTTTTTTTTGTTTAAATTGCAAAGGCTTTGATCAGAGCTTTATACTAATCTTATATAACACATCCAAATCTATACTTAACAGTGACATGACATCCAACCTGCATTGTTACACTGTTCTTCTGACGGGATTTTCAAACACACTTTAAAAGAGAAAATAAGCGCTAAGCTTCAAGACTATTGAACATTTCGGTGCAGCCCTCTCGCGCTAAAAACGTGCTTAATAGTTAAATCCGGCCCTGTATGTGGGACAACCTTCTCGTAAAGTGCATGCCATGAGGCGTTGGTAGTTATGTTTATGAGACCTTCTGTCTCGAACATTTTCTATCAAATCTGACACAGGTGATCTTCCATCCCTTGATGTCAAACTGTCCCGCATTTTCTCTGTTGGTCTCCCTCTGCCTCTCCTCTCCTCTAACTTTCCTGCTGTCACGATATACTGCAGTTTTCTCCTTCTCATTACATAACTAAATAATGTAGATGGTCTCCTTATGATGTGGGCAATCAGTTCTTCTCGCCAGTCAGTTTCTCTCAAGACATTATCCTTGTTATATGTCCAGGCTATTTTCATAATACGTATACAAAATCAAATCCTTGCAGCTTGAAAATGAATTGTCACTAATCGACCAACTGTCTATGATTCACTTCCGTATATCAGTATAGGATTTATATAACAGGTGCTAATTCTCTTTATCGTCTGAATTGGCAAAGAAGACTACATAGATTATTCTTCATGTTACAAAATTCGATTCCTGCTCGAACTATTCTACATTTAACTTCTTTAATATATCTTCTGAGGAGCGGCTGGCTGGATGGTTAGAACGCTGGGCTGAGCGGAGACAAGGGTTCGAATCCTCAGTAAGGTTTGAGTTTGTTTCTGTCAGGGAAAAAAAAAAATCCTTACCTGCACAGTCGTGGCGACAACACTAGCCATGCGGCCCACATTACAAAAGTGGTTTTAAAAAGGCAGTAATTGGCAGTTTTGTGTATGTGTGTGTGGAAATATATCTTTTATATCCTGTCATTAGGGTATCGAAGTCCTTAAACGTATCAACTTGCTTGAGGTTTGTCCTTTTTTATTTTAACGTTGCTTTCCGAAGGGTTCATTTGTTGAAAAACAACATTACAACATTAAAATCAGCATTACTTCTGTTTTTCTGCAGCTGAAACTAAAACCCTTGTTTTGACTTTACATAAGTCCATCATTTGATGTCATTTGTGTCAAACATACCATATCTTTTCTTTTCTTAGGACCAAGGGAATTTACTGCAGAAATTCACAACATCAGTATAACGCTTACCTGCCCTTTGTTGGGTACAAAACCAAGCGGACAAAGGCACAAGTGAAACAAGCTAAAATACTATAATTCCCAAGTCCCATCACTAAAACTATGGGAAGTATATTTTCCTATGTCTTCAGCTTTTTAGCACCCGCCCAACAGTATGACCCCACCCCGGACCCCACAACGGGACTCACACAGCGGGATCGGGAGATTATCGCACATATCTGGGGTCTGGCAACTGATAAGAAGACCTTGAAGAGCAATGCCGTGGAGTTTTTCATACAGTAAGTGAGTTCGTCTTGTTCCTGGTTGTGTGCATAGGAGAACTCGGGTATTCATACTCGGGTAGATAAGGTCCTATGTTTATTTAACTGGGTGTTTACTTCTTCATAAAGTCCTTGCCGTGTGGTGTTGGTAGTCATGTTTATCCACAACCTTCTGTCTCTGCATTCAGTCAACTCTGACACAGACGATTTTCTATGACATGATGTCATAGCGTCGAGCCTCTTTTCTCTAGGTCTTCTTCTGCATCTTCTCCCGTCCAACTGTCCTACAATGTTAAATGTTAAATTAAGAATCGACATCACAGCACTCGGGACACTCCTATAAGTGCTCCGTCCCTATCTTCAACAGTAAGCGACAAGTTCCAATTCCGATAGCACTAGTAAATGTCTCGCCCTTTCCTGAGTGCTGAGCGTCTGTCAGATCCACTGGTAACTTCTCACAGCACCATTTTCCTCAGACCCTAAAGATGTTTTTGTACCTCGGCACTGTTCACTTGCTCTCAAAGGGCCAAAACACTATCTAGCTTCTCATACATCAATTCACCACCTAAAGGTGCAGAGCCGGTCAGTCTATATGCCTGATAATTTTCCAACACGCAAACATGACTTGGAGAACATTTACAAAGGACTTTCCTACTGTCACAATGTACCCAAGTTTTCTCCTTGTCATCACACGAGCAAAGCATGTAGATTGTCTCTTTCTGATGTGGGCAGTCAGCTCTCTTCGTGTGTCCGTTTCTTTCAAGACATCCTCATTAATCTTTTTATCTGTCCAGGGTATTCTCATCATTCGAGGGTTTACTAGAAGAACTACAAGAATCAACGTTATCATCATCATCATCCTCCTGTGGGTTTTATGGCTCCATTTTAGAGAAAGAAAAAATAAAAAATAACAAAACAGACTCACTGCCGTCTGACAAGCATGTGGTACAAAACGAATTATTAAGGCTGTATCCTTCGAAGTCGGAGAGCATCTACATGAGAGGCGATGAAACAACAGTCTGCACGCAGATAAGCCAGATCTATATAAGGGATGCGCACGCAAATCTCAACTTCTGGAACAAGATAGAATTAGGACAGACGGAATTGGGGCAGACAGAACTGGGGCAGGCAAAATTGGGGGAAACAGAATTGGCGCATTTATTCTCAGCGGGACAAAGTCTTAATGTTTATTTAACTGGAAGTTTACTAGAAGAACTACAAACATCATCATCATCATTATCATCCACATCATTATCATCATCATCATTATCATCCACATCATTATCATCATCATCATTATCATCCACATCATTATCACCATCATCATGATTATCATCATCATTATCATTCTCACTATCATCATTATCATTCTCACTATCATCATCATCATCATCATCATCATCATCATCAGCATCATCACTATCATTCTCACTATCATTCTCACTATCATTCTCACTATCATTCTCACTATCATTCTCACTATCATTCTCACTATCATAATCATCATTATCATCATCACCTAACAGTTTTTGCCGTCAAACACCGGAAGGAATTGTTTATGGTTGAGCACGTCTGGGCAGTACTGAACATTGTCATTTACCTAGGCTGACCAGCGTTTTTATGGTCATTAGTCCATCTTCTTCTATAAATCGCTCTTGTTCTCTTATAGGCTTTTGGACATGTGACGCTTACCCATACACGGCTACGGGTTTCTTGGTAACAACAGTTTTGTGGTTTCCCAATATAACATATTGCCATGTTGCAAACCTTCTCAGAAGAGACGAACAGGGAATCACCAGGCACTGCAGCTGGACATAGAGGAACTGAGAAAACGTGGACCTCCAAAGCAAACACTAAGGCGAAAGTTCATCAGAGAGGCCAAAGGTGCTTGACTGGATCTCATCTGTGATATCAAAGTCATTGCATAGGATAGATTGCACATAATTTATTGCATAGGATAGATTGCATAGATAGCAATGGAGAAATAGACTGCGAACCCTATGTGACGTATAATGGCAGAACAATGAATGAATGAATGAATGAATGAATGAATGAATGAATGAATGAATGAATGAATGAATGAATGAATGAATGAATGAATGAATGAATGAATGAATACTGCTGTACAGTTGAACGGGGATTTCCCGTGCGCCTGTTGGATTCTCATCCTACAAACTGCAGTCCAGGTTTAATTTAAAAAAAAAAAGGTTTTAGATCTTTTGCTATTGTTGATATATTCTAAAATTGACGCCAAAACCATGTAATGTTTTCCAGTATATTCAACACAGCAAATGTTTCCACAATCTTACAGTTTATTTTCCCAGCTGGTCTCGAATGATTGTATTGAGTTTTTTCGCTTGCATCTCCTCTCATACATGCATATTTAAAGTCTCAAACATCGTAATTGGGATAAGCTGCGCCACCCATTCCCCACACAATGGTCACATTTTCTGTTGAATCTTAGTTTTTATGCATATAATATTTTATCACAAAACAGTGTTATATGTATTCGTCATTAAGTTCATGCAAGAATATTCGCTAATGGACATATTGCTAACATTACTAACAACCTGCGATATGCTGACTTTATAGTTTTGATCACTGAAAGTGAAATAGAACAGCAAGAAATGATGGCCATAATTGTTTCAAAAACTGAAAACAAAGGTCTTAGTTTGAACATCAGAAAAACAGAAGTAATGATGATTACAAAGAAAACTAACCATCCGAAATGCAACATCAAAGAACATTGGACAAACCTCATACAAGCTGATATGTCTAAGTACTTCGTTACCCTGATAAGATCAGATGAAAGATCTATTAAAGAAGTTAAATGTAGACTAGCTCAAACAAAGGCAATATTTTACTAAATGAAGTACATTTTATGCAGTCTGTCTTTGTCAGTTGAGACGAAAAAGAGAATTCTTTAAACCTATATAACTCCAGTCCTGATATACGATAGTAAATCATGGACAGTTAGTAAATTAGTGAAAAATTATTCAATCTTCGCAGATGCTGTTTTATAGACTAAAGATAAGAAAATTATAGACAGATGATAAAAAATAAAAATAAAAATGTAATGAAGAAATGTTGACAGAAACTGACTCACGAAAAGAACTGATTGCTCACATCAGAAAGAGACCACATTTTTTGGGTCATGTGATGAGAAGGAGAAAAACAAGAGTACATCGTGACGGTAGGAAAGCTGCAAGAGAGAGGCAGAGGAAGACCGAGAGCAAAAATGCTGGACAGTTTGACATCTTGGCACGAAGGATCATCTTTACCAGGGTTAATCGAAAGTACACGAGACATAAGGCTGTGGATAGACATGCCTATTAACGCCACATGGCATGGACTTCAAAAAGAAGAAGAAGAAACCATTAAGTATGTTAGAATTCTTATTATCAAGCACTTAAGAAAGGCTTGGGTGCCCCTGAGGCTCTTCCTCTGGAACATTGTAGGAGTAATGAGACCAACCCCACCCCCCTCCCCTTTTACCCTCCTACATCCCTACCCCCTCCTTCGCCCACCCATAATGTTTTCACTATGACGATGCTATTGTGACATCTGCATTGCTTCTGCCACTTGTCCGGGTAGGCGAGACCTTCTGTGTTTGGTAACAATGTCGACTAATTGACTAAACATACAACACAGCTAGCAGCAGACAAGCGAACGTGTTCATCCATCTTTCAGATTGTTTGAAACCTACCCGCACATACAAGACAGATTTGAACTGTTCAAAGACAAGCCACTGGACGAGCTGCGGACGAGTCCCAAAATGAAAGCCCACGCCACGAGTGTTTTCTACGCTCTCACCTCGTATGTAGAAAACCTAGACGATCCAGAGACGTTGGTTGGCCTCGTTCAGAAAATTGCAGTCTCCCACGTTGGCAGAAAAATACCTGCTGATGATTTTGATGTAAGTTTTTTTGTTTACATTTGATTTTATCGCTTACAAGAGACGGCAATATGTTATATGTGAATTGTTTGCCTCTCTAAATGTTTTATCTCCCATATTTCTTTTATACCTATTCTCTTCTCCCATCACTTTCTGTTTCTTGCAGTATCCATTTTTCCACTACCCCTTTACCTCCATCTCTGACATCTATCTCTGTCTGTCTGTCTGTCTGCCTGTCTGTCTGTCTGTCTGTCTGTCTGTCTGTCTGTCTGTCTGTCTGTCTGTCTGTCTGTCTGTCTGTCTGTCTGTCTGTCTGTCTGTCTGTCTGTCTGTCTGTCTGTCTGTCTGTCTGTCTGTCTGTCTGTCTGTTTCTGTCTGTCTGTCTGTCTCTCTGTCTGTCTGTCTGTCTGTCTGTCTGTCTGTCTGTCTGTCTGTCTGTCTGTCTGTCTGTCTGTCTGTCTGTCTGTCTGTCTGTCTGTACACATTACAAGGGAACGTTATGGCAAGAGAGCCTTCAGCGGCACAACAAATGAAAAGATAATGTTACTATTACGGACAAGAATGCATAACATAGTTTAACTGAACCATCGAGAGAAACTGCACCTTGCTCGATTTACCTCTGCTTCTGTAGCGTGTTTTTTACCCGCTCCTCTTTCTCTTCATTCTATCTTCTCTCTTGTTCTTTCACTCTCCTTATATCCTTTCTTCTGCCTCACTTTATTACCCCCCCCCCCCATCACCCCCATCCTCCCACCACCCCTTTCTATCACCTTACGGACGAGATCAGTGCCTAGTCACACCAAGTCCACGTAGCCCCGCTATCTTGGTATTTTCTCAGTGTCTACCACTTGTCCGTTTTCCCCTCTCTTGTCAGCTGTCACCAAATCCCCAAGTCTACTTCTGATCTAAGCAAGTTTATATTATTGACTCTTGTTTATCTTTTCTAATCGGTTCAGTTTTTCATTTTCTCTAGGAAAACGTGTAAAAATTCTAGCGGATCTACTAAACCTTAGACTGATGTTTTAAAAAAAAAAAACATCCTGCAAAAACAACACGTCGACGATAAAGAAGATCAGTACACCTCAGTCAATAATGAACTTAGTTAGTAAAACAACAGATTATCGTCACTACACATCGACCCATAAATCCACAAGTGCTTGGATCCTATTTTCAGTATATCCATTAGTGTGTGGTGACTGATTACAACAGTTCTTTGTTGGTTTACTATTCTTCTTTGGCTGCCTTATAGTGTTTGAATCAAAGAAGATGTGTGGCAAGAACATGTAGTGTCTTCAGATCTGCTTTCCCTTTATAGTGAAAATATTATGAGCCATTTGCAAGACAATAGACACAACTGTGTATAAAAAAAGGGTCAAATGGGAGTGGACCAAGAGGCAGACCAAGAAAGAAGGCCACGGACAGATAACATTCAGACAGACACACTTGAAGTCAGCAACTGGAAAGAGACAGCCAACCAGACAGATGAATGGAGGCAGGTGACATCTGCGACAATGAATCTGAAGGACTCCGAATTCTGAAACAATGAACCAACAAACGAACTTTGTTTTTAAAGAGCTCCCAATTGCGCTGGGAGGACTGTCTTATCACATGTGGCCCTACCAAGAATTAAAAAAAAAAAAAGAGGAGGGGGGGGGGGTTGGTTGGGAGGGGGGGGGAGGTTTGGTTGGGGGGGGGGGGGGGGTTGGTTGGGGGGGGGGGGGGGGGGGGGGAGGGGGAGGATTTAAAATCATGAAAAAAATTGTCCCAAGATAACATAACAACAACAATATCAAATATGCGAATGGTAGACGTGCCCATAAATTTGTAAAATTTACGAAAAAAAATTGCTCCACTTTATTCATCTGTATTTCTTTTATTTTCCAGAAACTTCGTATAGTATTTCTCAACTTCGTGAAATACCTACTAGGTGACCAGTACACACCGGAGATTGAACAAGCCTGGGACAAACTTTTGAGGGCCCAAACTGCAATTTATAAGCAGATAGAAGAGGAATTGTTAAGCAAAAAGGGAACACAAGAAATTCCAAAGACTGACATATAGATGTTGATGCGTGTGTGTTTACTGAACAATTATTGTATTCTTCGATAATTAAGCATTGCTAAAACGATACCTTGCCGAGTGAAATACACAAAATTTAGAGTGCATATTGGGTGACAATGGTGCCATCATGGTATCGATAAAACCCATCACTGGCTTATGTGAATATGTGATTACTCTGAGATTTTTTGTGTAATTCTATTATATGTGTAATCGGAATAAAATGTTTCTTGAAGACATTTAACACTACATGTTTCATACATTTCATCTTTTAAAAGGTAATCACAATTCTAATTATTCATAAAATCGTTAAACAAATGTATAATTTCATTATGCTGGTACAAAGAAAGAGAACTGCCATGGTTTGGTGGCTAGACGCTCGCCTGCGAATCTGAAGATGGCGGTTCAGATCCTGACGAAACTGGACTTCTTTCAGAAATGACCTTGGCACCAAGGTTAACACAACCATAAATGAGTACCAGGTAAATCCCTGGGAAGTAAAGACGACCGGCGGATGCTGACTACATCACCCATCGAGTGCCCACAGGTCTATGAAATATGTCTACCCGATATGTCTGAAGGCGTGAAAAACCGTCCTTTGCTTTTTCTGTACAAAAAAATACCCAATGTGCTTTTAGTGGTAAGTATTTGTGGACTCTCTCGGTCTCTCTCTCTCTCTCTCTCTCTCTCTCTCTCTCTCTCTCTCTCTCTCTCTCTGTCTATCTGTCTATCTATCTCCCTCTCAGTCTCGCTCTATCTTCCTCTCTCTCTGTGTCTCCCTTTCTGTCTCTCAGTCTCTGTCTATCTCCCTGTCTGTCTCTATATCTCCCTCTCTATCTCTGTCTGTTTGTCTCTCTCTGTCTCTCTCTGTGTCTCTCTGTCTCTATCTCTCTCTCTGTGTCTCTCTGTCTCTATCTCTCTCTGTGTCTCTCTCTGTGTCTCTCTCTGTGTCTGTCTCTCTCTCTGTGTCTCTCTGTCTCTATCTCTCTCTGTGTCTCTCTGACTGTATCTCTCTCTCTCTGTGTCACTCTCTCTCTATCTCTCTCTGTCTCTCTCTCACTATCTCTCTCTCTCTCTCTCTCTCTCTCTCTCTCTCTCCCTCTCTCAATACATGGTTTAGTTGGTTTATACAACGGATCAACATCATGGCACACGGGTAGTAACCAATAAGTGCTCCGTTCTACTTCTAACTCAATCCTAAGTCCGAAGTTTTCACCCATTGCATGAACTCTACAGTACTAGCTAGGATCCTGAAATACTTTGGGTAGATTTCTAACTCTAAAGTTAAGCTACACCTTTCGATTTCCAACTGCCAAAGGATTTTTTACGTGAGCAGCAATACACACGGGCGTCCGGTCTTACTACGCAGAGACCAGGAAAAATTAATAGAAGTCCAGGTGAACAAATCCAAGCCTCCAGCGGGGCCCGAACCCGGAACCTGCAGCACTCGAGGCAGACACTTTGCCCCATCTCAGCTCCCATTCTGTCAATATATATATATATATATATATATATATATATATATATATATATATATATATATATTGTTGTGTGTATACATCTTCACTCATTTATAATAAATACTGGTGTTATTAAATTTATATAAATAATAATTAATAATTGTTAGTTGCCTTGTATTTGTTGCTGCTCATGATGATTTCATGTTACCTAGTTGTCTGTTCACGAGAGCCATATTTATGAAGGCACCTTTAACACTAGGTTAAAGATCTTCCCTTCCAGGCTGTTAAAATCCTCCCCCCCCCCCCCCCCCCCCCCCGCCCCCCCCCCCTCCCTTCTTCTTTTACGGATTAGCATTCTGTAGAACGAACACATCAAGGACGAGAATCAAACAGCTTCAAATCTCTATTCAACCATAAAGGATAGTTATCTTGAGGCAACGCTATCATCATCATCACCATGCACAAAAAGAAATGTTAGAACACATGAGGCTCCCAACCCACGACAATCTGTAAATAGGCTGAGGCCCCAGAGCATGCTCTGTCTGTCGAGGCTCCTGTTCTGATGTTCCCTGCTGTTCATCTACGGTCAGAATGAAAGTCAATGAGTGTAATGTTATCATCATCGAGGCCAATACACTTTATCGACTGTTCCTATGCGAAATTGATTAGGATTTCTGTCTTGGATCTTGAAGTGTGCATAATTGTGCATGGACAAGATTTCCTCCTAGGCTACATAGTTGGCTTGGTCTTGAAAACACTTAGGTAACCACCAGCTTGGTCCTATCTGAATTGGAACTCTTTGCTAGCTGCTGAAGATGAGGACGGAGCACTTATGGAAGTGTCCAGCGAGTGCTATGATGTTGATTCTTAAATTCAACAATCAACACTTAGCCTAGACGTTACAACATTGACTAGAAGTAATTGGGAGAAAACAGATGGCTCTGTGTTGAAAGGAAGAAGAAGTGCGAGGGGGGTTAGTGCGAAAACGGATGGAAGGCGCTTAGTGTAACAAAGTCTAGCGTATGATACTGCAGCATCTAGTTTGAGAATGGAGGTGGAGGCAGTCGCAGCAGCTTTCCACTGGCCTTAGGACGAGCTGTTTTCGTCTCTAGTGATTGTAAACAACTCACTAAGCGTGTTAAGAAAGAAAGGTGATGACAGGCATGCTCTGTGCAGAGTGACAAGCATCGCTTCAGACATCCTGGATTGTTAGCAAGCTTCAGATAGTTTTCCAGGAAATGAACAAACGGACAGACAGACTATCTGTTTCTGAACCAATGGGTGATACATTTAAGCACGACAAGCTAGATTTGGTCAAGATCCTTTAGGAGCAAGTGAACAACACAGATTCTTCTTCTTCGCGTGCACCAGCTGTACAATCTGGCGAAAAGTTCTGGTTGTTCAACCACTCCTGGACTGTAGTCTTGTTTCAGAACCTGAGTGTTGCTCGTGCATCCGTTTTACTTATCTAACTCATGTGTATGCAGACTGCTGGTTCCTTGCCTCTCAGGCAGATGCACTTTGACTTTGAAGGAAACTCCCAATCAGTCGACTCTTACGACATGCTTTTGAGTAGGCAGTGGGTCTATTCTTGTTTTCCCCATAACAGGGTCCCGGAACCCACACGAGGAAAAGTTTGGGATGACCAGGGTGTCTGGTCGACACTCTAGAGGAAAGTCAAGACCGACATATAATAAAACTCCTACTGCTTTCATCGGAATTAAAAATGCTTTCTGTCTGCTGAAGATGAGTTCGAAACGCTTATGGGAATGTCCCCGCTGCTGGAATGTCAGTTTTACGCCCAACACTCATGTTGAAGAATTAGCATGATCATGTGTCGTGCCGATAAGTCATGTTTTGACATCCCAAACCATCAGGAGGACAATAATGAATGTATCGTGTACATGTAGGCTTCTTGTTCTTGTTCTTTTTCAGCATTCCTAGAGCCTGAGAATCATTGCTGCCGATATATCATCCGCCTCCATTCATCTATCTAATTATCCTTTTCTTTGCAGTTGGTGACATCGAGTGTCTGCAGGTTTGTCTTGACGTTATCTCTCCATAGTCTTCTTGGTTTGCCTCCTGGTCTACGACCATTCAGTTCCCATGTATATACAGTCATTGACATGTCTGCCTCGAGTGCTAGAGGTTCTGGATTCAATCCCCGGTAAGGGCTGGGATTTTTTCACAGACTTCTAGTAATTCCCCCTGGTCTCTGGATAGTGAGAGAGAATGTCCGTGTGAATTGTTGCCCACGAAAAAAATCACTTGGTAGTTGGAAATCGAAAAGAATAGCCAAACGGCGATGCCTGAGCAAAATTTGGAGTTTATAATCTACCCAAAGTATGTCAGGATCTCTGTGCTACAGAGAGTGTGCACTGTGCTAAGCATCTTAGGACTCAGACTTGAATTAGAAAAAGAACGGAGCACATAGGTTACTACCCGTGTGCTTGATGTTGATCCGTTGTTCAAACTTCAAACTTCGTTTGAGAGATATGTCATTCGACATTCTTTCTATATGTCATTCATTTTAGTCTATTAGCTCTCACGATGCCCGTGATCAATGGTGATTTAAACATATTATGAAGTTCGTTGTTGCTTCTCACTCTCCATTCCCCACTGAATCTTTATTCTATGCGCATTTCACTGGGTTTCCCCTACATGACACTAAAAAGCTGTTTAGTCGGCAAGCGAACAAAACTATTATCTACACGGAAGAAGTTGAGACAACATGAAATTCAACAAGCCAAGACTGGATCCCAGATTTATTGCAATGTTTGTATACTATCATTGATCGTATGTAAATATCTTAAGATAAATATTGTATAGATTGCGGCTAGTTCCGACTCACTGAACTCTATACTTTACTAGGGACAACGGTTGATAGCGGTGGCTCTTAGATTATGTTATTGTTGTGCCTAGTGACACATGAGGCTTCAGAGAGGTCTTTCCATGCTTTCCTGTCCTGTGCAATCTTCAGTGCAGTTTTCCATGTCAAAGATGCCGCACTCAGGTCACTTTCCATCGTTCGTCTCCATGTTGTTTTTGGGCGCCCATGTTTTCTCTTCCCCTCTGGTGTCCATGTGAGAGCTGTTTTGGCAGGTATATGAGGATTCATTCTCATAACGTGGCCAAGCCATTTCCATCTTCTCTTGGTTATCATACTGTCTAACGTTTCTTGGTTTGTGACTTGAAGTAGTTTAGTGTTTGAGATTGTATCTGGCCAGAAAATTTTGATAATTCTCCGTAGACATGTGTGGTGGAAGGTGGACAGCTTGTGTGCATCCTTTTTGGTCATTCTCCAGCATTCCGCTCCATAAATAAGAACTGGCAAAATGATGGTCTTGTAGAGTCGGAGTTTCGTTCCTCTGCAGTAATTGTTGGATTTCCAGATTTGCCTAATCCTTCCAAAAGCAGCTCTAGCTTTGTTCAGACGTGACTGTATGTCCTGTTTGGTCCCTTCCGGCAGGGACACCACACTGCCAAGATATGGGAAATGTTCTACATTTTCAAGAGTTTGGTTATTTATGGTCACTGGTTGTT